ACAATCCGAACATTGAAATGGTTTTTCTCCTGTGTGAGTCCTCTGGTGTATCACCAGGTGGGAATTCCGAATGAAGCTTTTCCCACAAACAGGACATTTATGTGGTTTCTCTCCTGTGTGTGTCCTGTAGTGTTCCACCAGCTGAGAATTCAAACGGAAACTTTTCCCACAATCCAGGCACTCATATGGTTTTTCTCCGGTGTGAGTCCTCTGGTGTTTCACTAGGCAGGAACTCTGAATGAAACGTTTCCCACAATCCAGGCACTCGTACGGTTTTTCTCCTGTGTGAGTCCTCTGGTGTATCAGCAAGTTGGAATTCAGACTGAAACCTTTCCCACAAACAGGACATTTATATGGTTTCTCTCCTGTGTGTGTTGTCTGGTGTTCCACCAGGCGGGAGTTTTGACTGAAACTTTTCCCACAAACAGGACATTCAAAAAGTTTCTCTCCAGTGTGAGTCCTCTTGTGTTTCACTAGGTAGGAACTCTGACTGAAACATTTCCCACAATCCAGGCACTGATATGGTTTTTCTCCTGTGTGAGTTCTCTGGTGTATCGCCAGGTGGGAATTCCGAATGAAACGTTTCCCACAAACAGGACATTTAAATGGTTTTTCTCCTGTGTGTGTTATCTGGTGTTCCATCAGGTGGGAATTGTCACGGAAACTTTTCCCGCAATCTGGACACTGAAATGGTTTTTCTCCCGTGTGAGTTCTCTGGTGTATCACCAGGTGGGAATTCCGAATGAAACTTTTCCCACAAACAGAACATATATATGGTTTCTCTCCTGTGTGTGTCCTGTGGTGTACCACCAGGTTGGAACTCCAACGGAAACTTTTCCCACAATCCAGGCACTCATATGGTTTTTCTCCGGTGTGAGTCCTCTTGTGTCTCACTAGATTTGAATGAATGCTAAATCTTTTGCCACATTGGAAGCACTGGTAGAGCTTCTCTCCAGTATGGGTTCTTCCATGAATCATGAGGAAGCTTTTCCGAGAAAAGGTTTTACCACACTCCAAACATTCGTATGGCTTTTCACTGGATGCATCCTGTTGTCCAGAATCAGATGCGATCTGCAATCTGTGTTTTTCCCACATTACGCAGTCTGCAGGGTTTTTCCAACACTGATATGCTTGGATTCCTTAGATGGCGAAAAATAATTCTGACCTCTTGCCTGTTGGTTGGTTGGTTCAAGCCACTCTTTCCTTCCTCAAAGGCTTTGACAAATGCCTGCCAATTTTGGCTCTACATTGAACCTTTTCCTTCTTACTGACTTGAAGTTGTTCCTCACTTTTTTATTTATTTAAATATAATTCTCCTTAATTTCTCATTTAATGTTTTTTTCATTTCCATGTCCTTTATTTTTTCCAGCTCAAAACTTTGTTCTTCTTATTCTTTCCCCCGTCTCTCATCTGCTGAGGAAGAAGAGTTTTTAAACTTTCCAGAGAAATTTGAAAATATTTTGAATGGCTTATTCTGCACTTTAATGCTGCTTCTCATTCTCTGTTGTCCAGAGTGCTCTTCTTGGCATCCTCACTCTCTGTAAGATTAATATAAATGGGTTAGTTTCATTATTGTTTAAAAATGGCTGCAGCACGTGAAAGCAGCATAAAAAAAATCCCCATCCCATATATTAGCATGAAAAAGCAAACACTAAAATTCTATTTTAACTTCTAATATTAATTATAATTTGGCATACAGAAGCCTAACAAGAGCCAAGTTCAAATATCGACATCATCATAAAATTCTCTTTTTCATTCAATCAGAATAGTTGAAAGAGACCTTGGAGGTCTTCTAGTCCAGCTCCCTTCTCAAGCAGGTGTATGGTATATTACACTTAAATTTTTGGATTGGGTAAATACACTCACGTATGCAGTCATATGAGCACAGAAATACACACCTATGTATGTATAAAATCTCTGCAAAATGTCCCAAAGTGCCTTCGCTCTAATTGTTTGATTTTAATTTAGAAAGTGGAGACACTAATAGATGAAATTAGTGTCTCTTAATTTCTATTCAAGATCTACAGCCTCCGTTTGGCACATGAAGCTCCTTGCTTGCCAGGAAAACAACATGCCAATAAAATCAGAAGAAATCAACGTGAAAGCTGGTGTTTAAGAAATATGAAACATATATATATATATATATATGTATGTATGTATGTATGTATGTATGTATATGTATATATATGTAGGTCTTTGGTTATTGGGGTTTTCTCCCGCGTAAAATTGGAGGTGTCTTGGCTCATTCGTCATCTTCAGGCTGGTGTGGAGTCATGACGAATGAGACTTCGTCAAAACGTCGCCAAGACACCTCCAATTTTACGCGGGAGAAAACTCGAATAACCAAAGACCTATATACAAACACCCTCGAATATATTTATTTATATATAAATATATAAAAATATTATTTTTAAATCTCCCATTAGTAAAATCACAGGCAGTTTTAAATCGTGCAGCCACAGAGGAATAAAATTTGGGAAGGGAAAGAATATACAACAGCAGCAGCCGCCATGCTTCAGTCTCTTTTCTTCCTCTGCTTCATACGCCGTGGAGGAAAGAAAGCAAAGGGCCCGACTTGCTCCCGGCTTCTCTTCCGACCTTCCCTCCGCTCACCTCCCAGGAGCCGCTTCCACCCGCCAGCAGCACAATAGGCTCCGCCGACATTCTCCTCCCATGGCTGAACCGGAAGAGGAAGTTCGTCTGCCCTTCGCCTCCTCTTCTCTAGCAATCTACTACACTATCGTTTCAACCCATTCAGTCTCAGCCTCTCCCCCTTCCCTAGAACAGCTCAGTCGCCGCTGTACCGAGTGTTGTTTCCCTGTAGCGCGCCATCTAGCGACATGAGGCGGAAGAACATGCTCGTTCTACCCTAAGGCGTTTGAAGATGTTCTCATGGATTCTGTACTTCCTTAAGTGCCCTCCACTCACCTCTCAGGAGCCGCTTCGCCTGTCGAAACAGAACAAGAGGCTCCGCCGACGCTATCCTCCTCCCGTGGCTGAGCCGGAAGAGGAAGTTCCTCTGCCCTTCGTCTCATCTCCTTCACATCCTCTCCAGGAATCCAATACTCTATCGTTTCAACTCGTTGCAGCCCTGCCTCTCTGACGTTACTAGAATAGCTCTGTCACCGTTGCACCCTAACTGCATTTTAGGCGCGAGGGTTGCTTCTCTGTAGCGCGCCATCTAGCGACATAAAGCGGAAGGACACGCTCGTTGTAGCCTAAGGCGTTTGAACATGTTCTCATTGATTCCGTGCTTCATTATATGCCATCAAGTCCTATTATTTGACTCCTATCGAGCTCATCGATAGATTTTCTCCCTGAGGCTCCACCCCAAAACCTTTTATTCCAGGTCCCCCAAGAAGGCATCCATTGTCCCTGGAGCTGCGCCCGAAGCTTCCTTTGCCAGCAACTAAACCTGTCACTGCGTTATTTTATTTACCAGCTGAGCCAATGATTTCTGGACTATCAGACTTTCCGTACCTTGCCAAGAATTGTTATCAAAAGCTACTACGCATGTCCATCCACCCACATTCCTTTCACACATTCTTTTTCCTTTGTTCTCTTGCCACGGTGCCGGTTGCTGGAAAGCAACTGGCCCGAATTATTTTCAAAATGTAGCAATTATCTTTCTTAGTTAGTGAGGTGTTTCTTTATAACAAATAAATGAGTTTTATTAGAAACTTTTCTTCGCGTTTCTTTTCAGAATACTGCAACAAGGAGGAGCCACGATCCATCCTCTAATTAACCAGGGTGATTTGTTCCAGAGCCAAACATGGGATTAATCAATGCCCTGACAAAACCAAAGGAAAGCGCCCTTTTGGGGGTGGATGGGGGGGGCTAGAAATGACTTGGAAATAAGAAAAGACAGAGTGCACCCCGCATTGGTTTCCGATAGCTTTTCTTCTTGGGGTGTGTAATGTGTGTGTGTTTGTGCACAGCAAAACTCCTCAAAACCTGCCTCTGCAATTTAGAGAAGCTGTAAGACTGAAGCTTGACCCCTTCTCTCTTCTGTAATTTTAGTTTATTTTACTTTCCTTGTTCAGCTAACCAGCATGGTATATCCCAGGTGTCTGCAACCTGCGGCTCCGGAGCCGCATGCGGCTCTTTGGGCCCTCTGCTGTGGCTCCCTGTTGGATGATCCCACCACTGGCTGGCCCCACCCTTTGCCCTCCCCTCCCAGTCACTCACCTGGCCTGAGAAGGTAAGGGTGACAGCAGGGGATGGAGAAGCGTCCGGGGCAGAGACAGAGAGATACAGAGGGAGGGTGGGGAGAGATGTCAAAAGGGTTTTGTGGTTCCCGTTGTTTTTTAACAACTGGTTCTCTGCCCTAATGACCAGCTGGGTAGGTATGGCTAGGGGGTCATGTGACTGGTAAAAGTGAGTGATGTCGAATTGGCCACGCCTACTGAGATTTTGTGGCTCCAGGTGTTTTCTTTTCTGTGGGAAACGGATCCAAATGGCTCTTTGGGTGTTTAAGGTTGCAGCCCCTTGGTATATCCTATTGGTGCTCCATCCCTTCTTAGCAACGGAAAGTCGGGCACCAATTGTCTATGGGGATTCTCAGTCACCCAGTCATGATATCAATGGCTTTCCAGAAAAATTAAAAGGAAGCATTTCGCTTCAATTTGAGGTGCGGACAACACAGACTCACCTCCAACAGCCTGCGCCTGTCTTGAACAGTGAAGGAAGACAGGACCAAAACCATCCTGTGGCCACGAAGGCTCCACACCTATTTCCACTACTCACGTGACCCTGAGGACACAGATAAACCTCCAGGTGGCCTCAAAAACTCTCCAAAAGAATGCAAATGGCAAGCTGTCTGCAAGGACTATGAATCCTTCCATCCCCCACAATCCAGTCAGAGCTGAAGAAGCTTCTTGGATGAGAAGCGAAACATCTTTAAAGAAAAACCAAAAAAAGTCCAGTTGCCTCCTGATAAAGCAGCTCTTGTCAGGGTTCCAAGTAATGGACCCAATGCAATCAAAACTCCGAGGCCAAGCTGCTCCTCAAAATCCAGATTTATTTTAAATTTTTAAAATACAAATACAGATAGAATATTACTTTGCACCCCCACCCCCTGGAGACTATTTTTCCCTTTATATTTGTCTATAACATTTAAAAGATGTACAATCTCTTCCCTACAGAAAAAACAATTACTACCAACCTGCCTTCCGTTGAGGACCTGTATACTGAACAAGTCAAAAAGAGGGCTGTGAAAATATTTATAGACCCCTCACATCCTGGATATAAACCGTTTCAATTCCTACCCTCAAAATGACGCTATATAGAGCACTGCACACCAGAACTAGACACAAGGACAGTTTTTTTCCCATTACAATACACCTCTAGCACCTCTGTATTTGCTTTAATTCTCGATCCGAAAATTTAATTGGGATCACCCAAAACAAAAAATTAAGTATTATCAAAGATTGCTTCCAGGAACATGGAATATTTTCCCCTTCCATTATTTTATTAAATGTTATCTTGATCTTCAGAACCAATAGCCCTTTAAAATTTTTATAGTATTCTACGCCCAATCCATCTAACCCTGGTGCCTTATCTAGTTTCAATTTATTAATAACTTCCACTAGTTCCTTTTCTTCTATTTGTGATTCCATTATTTATCATATTCTTGAATTTTACAATTTAAATTCTATATATGCCAGACTTTCATTCACATGTATGTCATTTCCCTTATATAGCTTTTCAAAGAACTTCTGAAATATCAACAATTTTTCTCCCATCATATTACATCTTTCCCACTTATCATTCTTTATTACTCCAATCAGGCCTTTTGCCTTTTTAGTTTGTGTGGCTCTAGTCAGAATCCTAGAATTTTTATTACTGTTTTCATAAAATTCCCTATTTAAATATATTCAATTTCTTTGAACCTGTTCTATCTCAATGTTTTGCAACTCTTTTCTTTTACTACATAGTAAAGGTTCCCTTCGCACATATGTGCTAGTCATTCCTGACTCTAGAGGGCGGTGCTCATCTCTGTTTCAAACCCAAAGAGCCAGTGCTGTCCGAAGATGTCTCTATGGTCATGTGGTCAGCATGACTCAACGCCAAAGGCGCATGGAACGCTATTACCTTCCCACCAAAGGTGGTCCCTATTTTTCTACTTGCATTTTTACATGCTTTCGAATTGCTAGGTTGGCAGAAGCTGGGACAAGTAATGGGAGCTCACCCCGTTACGCGGCACTAGGGATTCGAACCATCAAACTGCCGACCTTTCTGATTGACAAGCTGAGTCTTACTCACTGAGCCACCGCGTCCCACTATTCTATATATTTACTTTCTCTCTATATATATATATTTATATATTTACACATATTTATATATAGACTATATATACTAATTCCCTAATTTCCTCCTCCAACCATTTTATATATTTCTCTTTTTTTATATTGAGTATTTTATCCCTAAGCCTCACGCTACTGCTTTCATTGCATTCCACATTACACCTGTATTACTACCTCCCTCTTAATTTATAGTCCATATTTAATTCCCTTTCCATTTTTTCTAAAATCTCATTTTTAAAATCCTCAAATCCATTCTCCATCTACTCGCCTGTTTATAATCACAATCTATTTCCATATCCATAGTTCCCATTGCACGATCAGATATTTTAATTATTTTTCTCTCTGCTCTCATTATTTTAGATATTTCCAGTGTTACAAATATATAATCTATTCTTGTAAAAGTTTTGTCTTTTATTTATAAATTTTATGATTACCATGTAATCCTCTCCAAACATCTTTCAGTTTATTTCCATTAATAAATTTTCTTAAATCTGTATTATTATACTTTATTTCCGCTTTTGATGGATTGGATTTGTCCTTTCTGCTATCCATATCCATATTATAATCACCTGCCATTATCACATAACCTTTGACTTCTTCTATTTCTTTATATACCCTATTATAAAACTCTCTTTGATTTATATTAGGTGCATACAAATTAGCTAAGGTAACCTCTTGTCCATAAATCAAGCCTTGAATTATAAGAAATCTTCCCATTTTATGGTTTTTATCATAAATTCCCATCTTTTAGCTACAATTATTGCTATCCCTCTTGCTTTTGATGTACCAAATGCCTTTTCATATACATTAGCCCAGTATAACTTAAGTTCATTCACCCCTTCTTTCTTTTGATGTTTCTCTTGTAAAAATACAGTATCTATTTTCTCTGTTAATTGATTTTTCAATTCTTGCTCGTTTATATTTTTCCCTCAAGCCATGTACATTCCATGTAGCTACCTTCAACTATTTCCCCATCTATTCCTCATATTACATATTCCCTTTGGTCTCCATGTGTGCTCTAACATAAATCTTACAAAACTAAAACTACACAGTATACATATTACCCCAAAATGTAAATAACCTCTTATCCACCCATAAACATATATAATATCCCCCTTCCCTTCTTCAGGAGATCTTCCTCCTCTCCACTGCATAAGGTCATCTGGGGAGAGAAGGAGCCATCCATACATGGACTTTGGTCGCCCACTTCACCTCCCTTAATCATCTTTACCTTATTTCAACACCCACACATATATTGTAACACATATCCCTTAATATAACTATTACAAATATTTATATACTATCTCTACAGCGAACTTGTAACTCCTGTTGCTTCATCCAGCCTCCCTTTCTCCCGTAGATCTTCTTTCTTCTTCTCCATCTCCCTTCTTGAGAATTTCGACATCTCATTCATTTTCTGGATTTACTCCATGAACTCTTCTTTATTGATGTTTCCGAGCTCCCTTAATTTCTCCATCACCTCCTCCTTTGTTTCAACTTTATGAAATCTTCCACCATATGGAAATCTCAAAAAACTGGTTAACCCCAGCTGCAATTGATATTATTTTTCTTCAGTAATTGACAAACTTGATGCATCTCTCTCCTCCATTGTAAAGTCTCACTACTTAAATCTGGAAAAACTTGTATCTGATGACCCCCAAACATTATCAATGCCATATTTTGCAATTTACGCAACAATTGCTCTGTTTTTGCATAAGAACAGAATCTTATCACAATGTCTCTCAGCAATTTTCTACCCAACCCTTTTGGGCCAACTCTATGTATTACATCAATATTGTATCTTGTAAAGGGGACATCTGGGAGGATCAAGGTAGCCCAGTCCAATATTTCTTGGATCAACTTTGCTTCGTTTTCTTCACTTTTCTTTGGATATCCACGCATCCATAAATTTGAGTGGCACTGACGGTCCCGTATCTTGATCAAATCCTTTTCCACCTGATGCATCATACTCATCTGGCTTTTTAACACCCTATCGTGTTCTCACTTCTGTAATATTTTGAATCAAATCCTGACTTTCTTTCACCAAATGTATTATTCTCACATCCATACTATCCATTTTATCATTTATTTCCTTCAAATCCTCATGTTTTTCTTCATTTCTCTTAACTCTTGTAAGAGAACATCAAATTTATCTGATTGAGTAAGTGATTTCTCAGGTGATTTTTTCCTCGCTTTCATTTCTAAGGCTTTTTCCACTCGAATCAGACATAACTCTGAAGGTCTAAGGCCTACTTTGGGTCTTTGCCACTTTCCCCACTTTTGCTGCGTTTTCACATCTGACCATCCAAAAACACCTCTTGACCTTTTAAGTTTTACAGTCTATAGTCCATAAACGTCACTGTCTTCCTCCTTATCAACTTATCTCCATAAATGCAACTTAATACAACTAAATAAATCCAATGGCAAGTTAACTTTATTACATATATCTTATCAAGGCTCTGTCTTAAAAGTATTTAGTTCTTCCACCTTCTCCAGGCCTCGACAATTCAACTGAAAGGGAGTAAAGGGCCTTCACACTATACACTCATAAATCAGCTATTATCTTCTCAGCTGTACTCCTTTAAACTCTTTCCAAGTTCTTTCTCAGTCTTCAATCATAGGGCCCTTCCTCTTCCTCCTTCAAAGGCCTCTCAAGACTCTTAAATTAAGTCGGAGCTAAAAGTCCTCTGAAAAATGTCCAATTCCAAGTCAAATACAGTCCAATCATCAAGAGAAAAGGAAAATAACTCATGTTTCATAATATTCTCACGTTTCATAATCTATTAGATTTCATAATCTTTAGATGGTTGTTATATATTTTTAATCCATTCTGTGCAATGGCCTGAAAGGAGGCAGAAATTCAGCGTCCTTCGTCCATTTTGGCAAACTCCGCCCTCCAAAATCCAGATTTAATGGCATGTCATATTGGCACATCTGATGAAAACCTGACTCTAAAGGTCCCGAGGTTTTCCCCACCCAAATTAAAAATCAAAGTTCTTCTCCCCAGTCCACATGTCCATCACATGGTCCAACCAGGTCACAATCCCAGCTGGTTTCAATCCATCTCTCCTCAGACCCTGGTGAGAATGTCCTTGGTTCCCAGGAGAATGAACTTTATTTTTGCTACAGATCCCCAGCTATCCCTACTCCCACCTCCCATTCCCACAGCTCCAATCAGCCTTGCTGCAGCAGCCCTGAAGATTTTCCAAAATGGCTTCAGGGTTGACAGCACTAATACTAATTGCTGTTGCAACCCGAGAACCACCCATATTCTTTTCATGGCAGAAGTCTTACTGGACAGTTGCCATACTGGCAGGCTTTATACCTTCAGCAGTTTTCTATGCATAATAAAATCATGAGAGGTTTTCCTGGCAGAGGAATTTGAGAAATTGCTGCAGATTCATATCGTTTCTAATTGCAGCTGAAGAGGGCAATGAAAGGTTGGCAGTTTGGGATTACAACTCACCTTCTGCTTGCAGCTGACTTTGCCACCCGGAGAAAGAGCCCTGCAGGAGGAAGACACCTGGGCCCTTTTCAATCTGATGGGGAATGCAATGGTGTGGGAGTATGTCAAATCTCAAGGCTTTTTGCTATTTGCTATCTATGGGGTTGATTGGTTTCTGTATTTTATTGCTGTAAGCCATCTGGAGTCACATTGCGTTGGGCATACATATCTATATCCCACCTTAATTAGTTGTAGAAATAACTCAAGGTGACAAACATACCTAATAAAGATCTAAGAGCCTTTTCTGTGGTCCAGCATGGCAATTCCCCGCAAGGCTGTGAAAAGGAACAACCACACAACTCTAGAGGAAGGAAGCTCAGATCTCCTCCCTCATGTTTTGACACCAAGACATGTTTGACTAAAAAGAATAAGGCAAAAAATTAAATGGTTAATTTCTGAACTGGCCTTCAAAAGAGAGAACAGAAATGAAATTCAAGATACCTCTACACACATCAAATTTTGCTTCATATGGGATTTCTTGTGTGCGATAAGAGAGGAATTTTGTGTGAAACACTTCCCACAATCTGGACACTTGAATGGTTTCTCCCCTGTGTGTAACCTTACATGATTTATAAGGCTAGACCTACTACTGAAATCTTTCCCACAAACTGGACACTCATATGGTTTCTCCCCTGTGTGAGTTCTCTGGTGTATTTGCAACTCAGAATTCCACTTGAAACCTTTCCCACAATCTGGACACTTATATGGTTTCTCTCCTGTGTGAATTCTCTGGTGTTTAATCAGATAGGAATTCTGCTGAAAACTTTTCCCACAATCTGGGCACTCATACGGTTTTTCTCCAGTGTGAGTCCTCTGGTGTATCACCATGTCCGAATTATGACTGAACCTTTTCCCACAATCTAGACACTCATATGGTTTTTCTTCCATGTGAGTCCTCTGGTGCCTCACAAGCTTAGAATTCTGCTTGAAACTTTTCCCACAATCTGGACACTCATATGGTTTTTCCCCAGTATGAGTCCTCTGGTGTACTTCCAACTCAGAATTCCAGTTGAAACCTTTCCCACAATCTGGACACTCATATGGTTTTTCTCCAGTGTGAGTCCTCTGGTGTATCACAAGCTTAGAATTCTGCTGGAAACTTTTCCCACAATACAGACACTGATACGGTTTTTCTCCAGTATGAATTTTCTGATGTATCATCAGGTTGGAATTCTGACTGAAACTTTTCCCACAATCCGGACATTGAAATGGTTTTACTCCTGTGTGAGTTCTCTGGTGTATCACAAGTTTAGAACTCTGATTGAAACCTTTTCCACAATCACTACATTTATACGGTTTCTCTCCTGTGTGTGTCCTGTGGTGTTCCACCAGGTGGGAATTCCAACGGAAACTTTTCCCACAAGCCAGGCACTGATATGGTTTTCCACCTGTGTAAGTCCTCTGGTTTATCACCAGGTGGGAATTCTGAATGAAACTTTTCTCACAAACAGGAGATTTATACGGTTTCTCACCTGTGTGTGTCTGGTGTTCCACCAGGTGGGAATTTTGACTGAAACTTTGCCCACAAAGAGGACATTCAAAGAGTTTCTCCCCAGTGTTGGAATGAATGCTAAATCTTTTGCCACATTGGGAGCACTGGTAGAGCTTCTCTCCAGTATGGGTTCTTCCATGGATCATGGGGAAGGTTTCCTGAGAAAAGCTTTTGCCGCACTCCAAACTTTTGTATGGCTTTTCACTGAATGGATCCTGTTGTGCAGAATCAGATGTGATCTGTAATTTGTGTTTTTCCAACATTAGGAAGTCTGCAGGGCTTTTTCCAACACAGATATGCTTGGATTCTTGAGGTGGCGAAAAATATTTCTTCCTAATGACTTCAAGTTGTTTCTCATTTTTTCTTTATTGAAATATTATCTTCCTTGATTTCTCAATGTTTTTTTTCTGTTCCATGTGCTCTATTTTTTCCAGCTCAAAACTTTGTTCTTGTTATTATTTCCTTCGTCTCTCATCTACTGAGGAAGAAGATTTCCAGAGGAATTGGAAAATATTTTGAACGATGGCTTATTTTGCATGCTTCTCATTCTCTGTTGTCCAGAATGCTCTTCTTGGCATCCTCTCTCTCTGTAAGATTATAAATGGGTTAGTTTCATTATTGTTTAAAAATGGCTGCAGGACATGTGAAAGCAGCAAAACAAAAAACTAAAAAAACCCAAACCCATATATTAGCATGAAAAAACAATAAAATTCTGTTTTAACCACTAATATTATGATTGATTTGTCATAGAGAAGCCTAACAAGATCCAAGTTCAAATATCGATGCCATCTATATCTTCTAGTCCAGCTCCCTCTTTAAGCAGATATATGGTATAATATTACACTTAAATTTTTGGCTTGGGTAAATACACCCATGTGTGCAGGCATATGAGCACAGAAATACACACCTATGAATGTATGTAGACAATCTCTGCAAAATGTCCATTCGCTCAAATTGTTTGATCTCAGGTCAAAAAAAAAAGGGGGGGGGGAGGAGACACTAATAGATGAAATGGAGCCCAACTCCTATGCAGCCCCAGAGGAATAAAATTTGGGAAAGGAAAGAATATGCAGCGGCAGCCAACACGATTCACCCTCGTTGCTTCCTCCGCTTCATACCCCGTGGAGGAACCCAAAGGGCCCGACTTTCCCCCGGCTTCTCCTCCGACCTTCCCTCCACTCACCTCCCAGGAGCCGCTTCCACCCTCCAAGCAGCACAAGAGGCTCCCCCGACGCCATTATCCTCCCGTGGGTCAGCCGGAAGTTCCTCTGCCCTTCGCCTCCTCGTCTCTCTCTCTCTCTTCATCCGCTCTAGCAATCCATTACTCTAATGTTTCTACCCGTTCAATCTCGGCCTCTCCCTCTTCCCTAGAAGAAATCAGTGACCGCGGTACCGAGTGTTGTTCTCTGTAGCGCGCCATCTAGCGACACAAGGCGGAAGAACATGCTTATTCTACCTTAAGGCGTTTGAAGATGTTTTCTTTTTAACCTTTTCTTTAAGTTCCCCCTTAAAGGCTGGAAATGACGTGGAAATAGGAAAAGAGAAAATGCACCTCCCTTGATTCCAGCCACTTTTTCCTCTGGAGAGGGTGGGGGTAAGGAATGTGCAGGATAACTCCTGAAAACTTCACTTCTGCAAAGTAGCAAACCTGTTAAAACTGTAGTTTGTCCCTTCTGGGATTTCATTTTCTCTTACTTCCCAATTTAGTTATCAAGCCCGGTATTTCTTATTGGTGCCCCATCCTTGCTTAGCAATGGATATTCCGGGGGAGGCCGATTGGTGTTGCAACCTGAGAACCACCCATCTTCCTTTTCCAAGCTAGAACAGCATTGAAAAGGTGATTTATGACCGTTTTTCAGATTTACCACCATTGCAGCATCCCCATGGTGACGTAATCGAAATAGGGACACTTGGCATTCAACTCACACTTGTGACAATTGCAGTGAGGTCGTGTGATCACCTATTGTGACTTAAGCTGGACAAACTGGGAGTCCTCCTGCTTGAGGAGGCCATGGCTGGGAAGGGGCTTTGCACAGATTCATCTGGTGCACCAATTGTTCCCTTTCCCGGACCGGGAGGCCTTGCACATGGGTCACTCATTCCTTGGTCACCTCCTCTTTGGATTGCTACCCTGGGTCCCCCAGAAACATCAACTAGTCCAGAACGCAACAGCCCACACAGTAATGGGAGTCCCTAGATTGCTCATGTAACATCTTTGTTGTGTGAGCTGCACTGGATTTTCTTTTAAGGTGCAATTGAAGATGCTGGTTATCACATTTACAGTTATTTTGTTATTATAACAATAGCACTTAGAAGTATATACCACCCACAGTGCTTTAGAGCACTCTCGGTTTAGTGTCAGAATATTGTCCCCAAACATATGGATCCTTATTGTACCGATCCCAGAACGATGGAAGACTGAGTCAGCCTCGAGCCTCACTATGACTGAACTCCAGGCTGCAATATTGCATTCTAACCATTGAGACAACAGGGCACCTGTCCCACCTTTATTTTTCTTGCATCCCTCTCTCCTACTAGGTCAGGTAGGGTGGCCACGCTCCTAGCCCCTTCCTTTAAATATTGCCATGTGACAGGAGCTAAGAAGTGAGCCTTTTCCATTGCAGACTCTTCCCTATGAAACTCCTCCACCTGAAGTTTGGCAGATCTTTATCCTCCTGGTCTTCTGTAAAACAAGGAAGATCTAGCTGTTCCCCTAAGCACTGGGATAAGAGATGCCTGCACATCAGAAGCTTGATTTGTTATCTGTTCTAAAGTTAATTATTGATTGGGAACCGGCCAGTGTTTGTTATAACATGGATGGCTACATAAATACTTTAAATCAATCAGAGGAAAAAAAGATGAATCCCAAAAATGGCCACACTTTGGCTGTCCTTGTGCAAATTGCTTGAAGCACTCTACACATTTAATTATCAAATTAATTTGCCACTAATCCTGCAGTTAACTTCTCCAATTTAACTCCTTTCAAGGAGAAAATTGCCAGTTTGTAGAAGGAATAGCACCGAGCATGAATGTAGGTAGTAAGGACAGGAGGCCCGGTTAACTTCTAACTTGAACAAAAGCAAGAATCACCTTTTTGGAATTCCCAGACGATCCAAATGCCATCAACTTTGATAGAAGTGTGCTGCATTTTAATAAAATGCTTTTGGAGTAAAACTCTATCTAAAGATAGTTTTCTATTTAAGATAAATTAATAATTTAGTTTATTCAGCATGAAATGGAGCTTACTTATATATAGCGTAAGACTGTATATTCTGTAATATTGGGACTGTCGGTGAGTCAACAGCAGGTCAGAGGAGGAGCTCCTGTGGGTTGCTCTTTAAAAATTATGAGAAACTGGAGGCGAAATTGGGAATCCAAATAGTAAAGAAAGTGAAATATCTTGGAATTTGGCTGACAGCAAAATGTTCTTCTATAAAAGAGGGTAATTATACCAAATTTGTTATACAACAAATACAAAAGGATTTGGGAAATTAGGCAAAATTACAATTATCATTAATCGGAAGAATTGTGACAATAAAAATGAATATTTTACCTAAAATCTTATTTCTATTTCAAACAATACCAATAAAACTTCGGAAAAAATATTTTGTAGAACTAAATAAAACAATCTTAAAATTTATTTGGTTAGGGAAGAAAGCCTGAATAAAACTTAAACTCTTACAGGATAGTAGAAATAAGAGAGGATTTGGACTCCCAGATTGGGAACTTTACCATCAAGTGGCAGCCGTAACATGGCTTAAGGATTGGATAACTCTTAAAAATAAAAGGGTAATAACAATAGAAGGCCATGACCTACAGCTTGGCTGGCACACATTCACCTGGGAGAGAAAAAATAAATTTCATACGTAATTTCAGAGACATCAGGTAAGAGAGGCCTTGTTAGACGTGTGGGGGAAAATCAAGAGAAATTATTACACAAAAGTTCCAAGGTGGCTACCAACCATGGAAGCAATGATTTACCCCAATGTATTAGACTGAAATAAGGTAGTGACATACAAAAAGTTATTGGATGGGCAAGGAAAACTTAAATCTAACCAAAACCTAAAATTTAAAGGAATAGAAATAGATTGGCGGCTACGAGCGGTGGTGCACTCCGGCCCCCAAGACTCCGCTCGTTCCCCAGGTTGCACATACCCTCAGGGCCCGGGCCTTCGGCTGATGTTGTGCAATGCCAGGTCTGTAGTAAATAAAGCCCCCCTCATTTGTGATATTGTTCAGGAGGGGGGAGCGGACCTGGCAGGTATTACGGAGACCTGGTTGGGACAGGAGGGGGGGTTCCCCTCGTTGAAATGTGCCCACCAGGTTTCCATGCATTTCATCAGCCGAGGGCACAGGGGAGGGGCGGGGGGGGGGTAGCAGTTATTATTAAAGAAGGTCTTAGACTGAGGGAGGCCACTGTTTCTCAGACGGCCGGCTGTGAGTCCCTCCTTGTGAAGTGGGGTAATGGGGTACAGATGGGTTTGCTGATCACATATCTGGCTCCCTGCCACGTCATCGCCGCGGTGGCGGTTGACACCCCTAGATTTATGGTCATGGGGGATTTCAACCTGTGGGTGAGATGTCTGAGGTGGCTCGGGAGTTCATGGCTTCCATGACAGCTATGGACCTGACCCAGTTAATTCAAGGCCCTACCCACACAGGGGAAAACTCGCTGGACTTGGTTTTTGTCTCTGGACAGTGGTTGAGTGATCTTGAGATAGGGGATATAGTCACCGAGCCCTTGTCATGGTCGGATCGCTCCTTCGCCTTGACCTTCGAACCGCTGCACCCCGCCGCAGGGAGGCGGAGCCGGTAAGATGGTTCCGCCCCAGGCACCTGATGGAGCCTGATAGGTTCCAGATGGAGCTTGGGCCATTCCCTGAGGCTCTGGCACACGCCTTGACTGGAGACCTAGTGGCCGCCTGGGATAGGGCGGCCGCTGGAGCTCTGGATCGGGTCGTGCCTTTGCGGCCTCTGACCCGGCACCGATCTCATCCGGCTCCTTCGTTTACTGAGGAGCTAAGGGAGATGAAGCACGGGAAAAGATGCCTAGAGAGCAGTTGGAAGGCCAGTCTTTCTGAATCCAATCGGACACTGGTAAGATCTCATATTAAGAATTACCTAGTGGCAATAATTATTTTGCTGCTCTTATTGTGTCATCAGAGAACTGCCCAGCCGCCCTGTTTAGGGTGACCCGCTCCCTGCTTCACCAGGGAGCGCGGGAGGACCCCTTGGAGGGTAGAGCTGAGGACTTTGTACAGTATCTGTATGACAAAATCACTCAGATTCGGGAAGACCTGGACTCCGACTGGATAGTTTCAGGGGGGATGACTGAGGCAGGTCTTGAGAATGTTATCTGGGATGAGTTTGAGCCTGTGACTCCTGATGACGTGGACAGGATTCTGGGCAGACTGAATGCAACCGCATGTTTGTTGGACCCGTGTCCCTCCTGGTTAGTGCTGGCTTCCCGGGAGGTGACGCGAGGCTGACTCCAGGGGATTATAAATGCTTCATTGGGTGAGAGTGACTTCCCCGCCACCTTGAAAGAGGCGGTGGTGAGGCCTCTCCTCAAGAAGCCTTCCCTGGACCTGGCAGTGTTAGCAAATTATCGTCCGGTCTCCAACCTTCGCTTTGTGGCGAAGGTTGTTGAGAGTGTGGTTGTGCGACAGCACCTCCAGCACCTGGATGAAACGACGTATCTGGATCCATTCCAGTCAGGCTTCAGGCCTGGGTACAGCACGGAAATGGCATTGGTCGCGTTGGTTGATGATCTCTGAAGGGCTCGGGTTGCTCCTCTGTCCTGGTCCTATTAGATCTCTCAGCGGCTTTTGATACCATCGACCATGGTATCATGCTGCACCGGTTGGAAGAGTTAGGGGTGGGGGGCACTGTGTTGCAGTGGTTCTCCTCCCTTCTCTCCGACCAGTTGCAGTCTGTGTTGGCAGGGGGGCAGAGGTCGACCCTGAGGCCCCTCATATGTGGGGTGCCACAAGGGTCGGTCCTCTCGCCCCTTTTGTTCAACATTTATGTAAAGCCACTGGGCGAGATCATCTGTGGTTTCGGGGTGAAGTACCACCAGTACGCTGACGACACTCAGCTGTACGTCTCCACCCCGGACCACCCCGATG